ATAAACACGGGTCCGCTGTTACTTCGATTCAGAGATCGAGGAATAAATGGTCTACCACCTAGTCACTCTCCACGAAGCCCTCGGCAGACAGCTACTTTTGCGGCCAGTCTTACTTTTTTTCAACGACATCCAGGCTGATCTAACGGTACGGGCTGGACGGTCATCCAAAGCCTCCAGGTCGCCTCTGGCCCCCACCCCCCCTTCCAACGATGTAGCTTAACTGGAAGAGCGCAAAAATTCGGCCTTTGAGGATGCGTGTCCAAATCGGATCATCGTTATTGCTTATGCTTGGGCTAGAGGCCTTGTAGCAAAGATCAAGTTTCGTGGACAGCTCAGATCAGCAAGAAAGGTGACTGCATAAGTGTGTTGAGGTCGGCATAGCTTAATGCTGTGAGGAAGGGTGAATACATTCTCATTTAAATGCTTGTTCCCCTTACTAGGCTCCTCAAGAACGTCCTGCGTATAGCCAGGATACGGGTCTTGGATTGCAGCTGTCCGGTACTTCTTGAGAACCCTTTATTATTAATAGTTTGTAAGAAACCGATGGTAGCTGGCTCTTTTCGATTTAATTAATTCCGCCCTATTTTATTTTTAAAAAAATCAACTCGATACTGAGTGTCTCTTAATTGAGCCTTTTGATCATTCTGGTTATACATGGAGATAGTGATCGAAGACCTAGATCCGTCGAAGCAGTTCATCCAAGCATATTGACTCGGTTTGTAGGATATCAGTTGTCCTACTTGGGCATCGCCTCTATCAAAAGCGCTTAGAATATCGCCCGAAGCTACGTATTGATTCTTAATGATATCACAACGTACAACATAGCTCGAACTCGGGTGAATCTGAGGAATAGTATTTGAGAGTTGTGCAGATGATATTATAGTAGGTGCCGTAGGGTAAGTACCACTAGTCAACCCAACTACCTTGCCAAACGCAGCATTATCGATAATAACACGAGGGACTCGCGTCGTAGTTGGTAATCCCGTTCCCCCAGAGCTATATAAACCAGTAGTAGATCGAGTGTATCCAGGCGGGAGCGATGCTGGCGTAGCACTGAAATCAAACTGAGCAGCGAATATACGCTATTTTCGGTTAGTTGAGTATATAATACATTGTTATCGGTAGAATCGATTAGAAAAGCTCCTGTGTTTACGAAAGCTGTCTGAATACTTCGCTTGATATCTGCTAAGTCATCCGATAGTGCTATAGAGATAGTGGATGCTGTAGCTGCGGTCGGTACTTCGATCTTGAACGAATTGTTCGAGAACTGAGTTGCATCGATGTTATACTCTAAGTTGTACATATAAATCGACTGCACCGCGCAGGCAACATCCTTAAAACCTGCTACCGAACCTGGGAAACTATACTCTCATGTTGAGTTGTATCCATCTTGGACAATATTGGTTGAATCAAGCTTCAGAAACGAAGCCATGTTACTAGTGTATTTTGATTCAATCAAAGTATTTTCCGAAAGGATTGTAATAGGGCTATCAAATCTATACCAAAGCTGACCTTTTACCGAATCCACAAATAAAATCTGACCTTAACGTTCCGTGGCTTTGTTGCAGTAGTATACGATACTACGTTCATCAACTCCCGGTATATTGCAACCATGACCAAATCACGCTTGAAATTAGCTTTTAGAATAGATACATACTCTGCATTCAATCTAATCATCTTGTCAGTGGCAAAGTAGCTATGACTAAGGAAAATTGTGCTGAATTTGTAACGGGGTACATAGCCCTTAGTGTACCCCTAGATACATGAAGAGTGACACGTCACGCTTCAGAAGTATGACACGTCATAAGGGAAGTGGTCAATTCGAGGCCGGTTTGCAGGTACAATTTTCGGAAAGGCACTGCTTCGGACTAGAGATTCCGGAGGTTTCCAGAACTGTCATAAGTTTTGACAGTTCTGGAAACCTCCGGAATCTCTCTTTTTTTTAGGTGGGGATTGGCACATAATACGACAGTGATGGTCGCTGTATTGTTACTTGAAGAAACCACTGAAATTGTGGCGGAGGTTCAATTAAAGGCCGGAATTAGACTTGTCTTGCGTATGTTCATTGGTACACCAGCATCAGGTTTAAGCCTACTAGAACGGTGCATATCGGTTATACTTAAGGCATTTTCATAGGCTACTACGAGTCCTGGCCAGACATGGTGCGTCGTACACCATCGACATGCCTTAGTCAATGACGACGCACCCGACGTTCTATGTGGGACGTCTTAAGCGGTACTTTGATCCGCACGGGGTTGCTGGCTCGCAGCCCCACCTTGACCCAGCTCCTCAAAGCGAGGACCGTCCACAGACGCCAACGAAGGTGTCGGACCAGGCACCCAAGCGTCGGTCTGAATGGCAAAGCTGCGGTCAAGACCATACGCAGAAGGGGTTCCAAACTAACGGTCCCCGGAGCCATACGCCAAGTACGCACCATGCGCGTACGACTGGGAGTGCGCCGAAGTCGGCTGCGGATGTGGCAACAGAGCCTTGAGCCGTCGGATCATGCGGAAGGCCTCGTCCAGATCGGACGAAGAGGTCCGTCGATCCACCCGCAGACGCAGTCTCGCGACCGCACGCTCCATAAGGTCCAGGCGGCCCGCAAGACGAGCGATCTCGCCCTGATTCCCGGCCTGGGCAGCAGCATCACCGCCAGTCCCAAGGCTTAGCGCAATCTCAAACACGATGACACGTTGACGGAGGAGGTCAACCTCAGGGCCCTGTGTCGGACCCGCAGGAGAAGGACTCGGGTGAGAGTGGCGTTCGGGAGGCGCCGAGTACTCGTACTCGTACGAGGGCACCTCCGCCCTGCTTGACCGGAATGGAGAAGTCCACTTC